AACAGAGTCTGCGGTAGACCAGAAGCCTCTCCTTACCTTCTGCCATGTTGTAGTCCCAGTTGGGACGGCTAGGGGAAAAGCTGGCATTAATGATGCCTAGGTCTGTGGTAGGGTCCCTGGTGGGGCCCGGAACCAATTTCTAGGCTGTCTCCAGGTTCCTGTTTTGCTCCTCAGTAGTGAACAGGACACTCAGGAGCTGGTGGAAATTGTCCCAGGTATGCTGGTGAGTGAAGAGAACAGTTTCCAATAAGTTAATCAAGTCCCTGGGGTTTTCAGAGAAAGGCGCATTCTGTGAGTGCCAATTGTAAAGATCACTGGTGGCAAAGGGCCAGTAATGAAAGGGCTGATTGCCCTCTCCGTCTGGGGGTCCCGCTGGCCGGAGGGGGAGGACAATGGTGTCAGGCTGGGGGACTGCCCCCCTCCGGCTCCATGTGGCTTGCGCAAGTCCCTGTGGAGGCGATGGTGGCTCCTTAGGGTTAGGAGGCGGGGCCTGCATTTGTGTCGCCATTGGCTGGGTGCCCATCTGAGAGGAGTAGGGCGGGGGAAAGATGTCATTCTCCTCCGTGCCTCCCTGGAGAATGGGTTTCTCTTCCACCTTTGGTCTGAGAGGGAGGACCTGCAGAGGTGCGGGGGGAGCATTTGGATTAATAAGGGGAAGGAAGGACTTGACCCAGTTAGGGGGCCATCAGGTCGTTCGATGAGGCCTCGCCAGGTGACGATGTATGGGATCTGGTCCTGGTGGCCCATCCGTGGGCGGAAGATGTGGTCCTCTACCCTGGAAATCAAACTCAGGTTAAAAGTCCCTTCAGGCGACCATCCAACATTGAAGGAGGCCAATCAACCGAATATAAGGTTGTCCATTTCTTTTTCTTTACATCTACACTATTGTTATGGGCAATCGTCTTCACGTCCCCCCAGTGGACTAGTGTAAGGTCTGGAGGGGAAGATGGGGTGTTGCCCATAGTATTTATCAGTCCTGTCCATTTTGTCAACAAAGAAATTAGAATGAAGATCACAAGACAGAAGAACGACACAGACAAACAGAGGGCCCAGAATAAACTACCGCAGCTTTCAGATGGTCTGGACTCTTGGCCGTGTGAGTTCCCCAGCTCGATTATGCCAAAGACTTTACGGATAGGATGTGTGTGTCGCAACAGGGTCGCGAGGTCCTCTGAGGTTTCAGATAGACTAATGTCCTGGTGGGGTGTCCGATGAGGAACACCCACCCCGAGGAGGATGGGGACGTCTTCCGAATCCTCCAGGTCACCTCGCTAGCATTTCAGCAACAGAGAAAAACTGAGATCAGATGGCCACGACCAAAGTGAAAGCATCTATGTCTCTAGAAGACAGGCACACACACAGTTTTACAAAAACTTACCCGGCTGGTTGATCACAAACCTTTTGGGGTCGGTTCCTCTCTGGGGTCTCTGGGGGGGATCCCAGGAGAGCCCGCAAATGTTGTACCTCATCCACTGGACCCTAAAAAGACCACCAAGGACCCAACATACCAAAATGCAAAAACAAAGGTTTATGGTTTATTCAGGCTTAAGCTCAGGCTCTCAGACCTCACCAACTCAACAGATCTGTGCTGAGAGCCCAGAGTAAGGGAGAGTGGAGGCTTTTATAGGTTTTAGACAGAGAGGAGGGGGATACCGAAGATACATTTTAGTTGGTTCAAGGAGCCCACGGGCACGCCAACATAATTTTAAACTGATTGGATGTATAAGATGCAGCCCTGGAAGTTTCTTATTGGTAGGTGCTATTCTCAGGGCTGTGGAATATGCTGACTGTTATCTGTGGGACCAGGAGTCTCCGTTTTTTTACCTTATAGGGCAGTTTTCATGCCCGGGCTTGCTTAATCTATAGTTTCCTGGAAGGGGGGATAGCAGGCAGGGGTCAGGGCATGCCAGGGCATGTCTAGGCATCTCTAAAGCAGCAGCCAAGCATTTTACAGAAGCTAAAAGAGCAATTAGTGGGGGTCTGGAGGGATT